TCATTTTAGACAAATAATTATGTATTTATCGCAGTAAGTTATATGTCGCTACTTATTAGAAATTTGCAAATGTCTTTTAGCTATTTCTGTGAAAATAATTTACATTATGTAAAGATAGATTGACGACGCAGAGAGATATTCTCATTTACATTTCAAAATCAAGATGTAGTCTCGAGGAGAAATAAAAACACGTTAATATACAGCTTAAGATTTTCATACGATATACTGCCAGCAAGCGCAAACATTTTTTTTTAACTCATACCTGCGGCAATTCTTGCCATATTTGTATAATATCGACAACGAAAAGCGTGTAGAATAATTAATAAAAATATTTACGTAATAAAGATGCGGATTACAAACTAACAAGTCAAAGTGATTTAAAGATTAAATAAAAAGATATCATAAAATTTTATCATGACATGCATAGCTAATATATATCTTGTCTTCTTTATGAAAATTGCTGAAGGCTATATTTTAATGAGATCACTCACAAATACAGCGAATAAAGTACAATAGCGATATCTCTGTATCGTATTAACGATATTTATCGTTCAATTATTAAAGAAAATACTATTAAAGATAATCATAGCACAGGTAAGGTGATTAAATATACAATAATAAATGTTTTTATGTCAACTTTTCGGATAATCTGAAAAGCATTAGATGTCGTATCAGACTTGTTACTGTCATGTTATAAGTGACGTCTTCTTTATAATTAAAACGCTGACAAATGTTGACGCGATGTGCAAAACTTTCTATAGAATTCGGTGTTGATGAATCCGCTCGAAATATAGGAAACTGAATATGTGGAATTTAAATTATGCACGCTGTGTCTTGCGACGCGCCGTTAAATACATTTAGCCGATTGCTCACGCGCTTTATAATGGCAGGAGTCGACGACGACGAGAGCAGTCGCCTTCGGCTTGCACGCGGCCATTATACCGGCTCTTCCGCATCATAAATTATAGCGGCTGGTACGCTCAGGCCGGAAGATTCGCAGGAAGCGAGCACGAAGCCGAAAACAACAGCGTGATCCACATTGCAATCGACCCGTGAAATGCATTTTCGCGAAATTACCAGCGGCCTGTGAATGAACACGGCGCGATGCGGCGCGCGACGCGACCGATTCGAAAATTCGTCCAAATCCTGGCTACATTGGACATACGCAATTACTTTTAATCAAACTGCCTGTTGTTTGCAGGCCACCGTGTGTCGATGCGGTCACTGAACGCACGACTTAACGGCATTCGATCCAGGCAGGCCCACAAACTCTCTATCTATCTATCTCTCTCTCTCTCTCTCTCTCTCTCTCTCTCTCTCTCTCTCTCTCTCTGTGTGTGTGTCTACATCCTTTTTTCTCTCTTGTTATTAACGCATCGCACATTTGTCCATTTGTGACTAATCCGCACCGGCGAACAATAGTTGACGCAGTTATAGCATGAGCAAGGTCTCATTTTATTTCGATGACGCGGTTAAATAATTGTTTCTTACGATGAATAGATAAGAAAGTATTATGAGATAAAGATGCTTCAAGAATCGTTTCCCAAGAAATTTGAATCAAAGAAAAATAGAACAATTGTTTCAAATTACCTGACTAATCAAATCTATTATTGCTTAGCGTTTTTACATTTAGGAAAATTATAACATATATTTAAGATTTAATTATAAATACTTGTTTTCTAAAAAGAATTGAAATTATTCTACGTATGGCAAAATTGAAATTTTGAACTGTAAAATATGCTTTTAATTAATTTAATTAAAATTATAATTTTATATAATTTTATTTACTTAAAGCAACGATTTTAATAAATCCGTTTAACATATTTATTAGTTTAGTTTCTGTTGCTAACTCAATATTAGACGAAAAGAATGACAAATTAAAATTTTAAACTAAACTAGATTTTTAATTAAATTGATTTAATTATAATTACATAATTATATTTATCTAAAGCGATTTTACTAGCGATTTCATTTAATATGTTTATTGTTTTAATCCGTCACTTGACTTAGCATTAGATGATATCTTTCAGATAACAATTATCGCAATATATAATATGTTACGGTAGCCGGAAATACCTAAAGCGATAATAGGTGCAAGGTTAAATTCATCCATGGTAGAGAGACGACAAAATGCGTCGCATAATGCTACATTTATCTATTACAATGAATAGTTCGTGTCTATTTTTGCTACGTTTTTGCGCAGAATATATGAATAGCGTGCATGGAAAATTTATCAAAGTAACGAAGCGAAGAGTGCGTGTTTGTAGCTTATACCTTATTCGAGACGATGAAAAAAATATATGAATTACACGATTCTCCAACTACTCTTAGAAAATAACTTGATTATATAAATACATGGCCTTGACTTAACCAATCGCAAGGTCCGATCGCATATAATTTCACCGCACAATTATTTTTATCAACATGTAACTACGAAATTTATAGGGGTCGCTTTTGCGAATACTGGAACGCCGCACTGAAAAGAACGTAATTTTACTCTGAACATATTTTACCTTTACATTAACTTTGAAACGCAAATATATTCTCGAGTACA